AAGGTGAAGGTGAGGAGCTCGGAGTTGAGAGAGTCGAGGGGCTGGAGGAAGGGTTGGTCAACGAAAGGGACATACACCGTGAAAACCAGCTGCAAGTTGAAGTTTATGGTGTTGAGGATGAAGGGTTCAATGACGGGGAAATAAATTCGGAGGCTGAAGTTGATCACATTGAGGAGAAAGGGCTCGATATTGGGGAAGTAGGTGAGGAGACTGAAACCAAGGAGGTTGAAGGGCTGAATGATGAAGTCGTCGATGAAGGGGAAGAAATTAGTGAAGGCGGGGAGGATGAGGAAAGTAAGGGTGATCATGATAGCCCGGCTGAGGGGGAACAAACTCGTCATGACTTTGCTGCATTTCTCGAGCAGGAGTCTGCAATTCGCAAGAAGAGGTTTGAGATTTATCTCTCCATTTTGGGAAAGATTGTGGTATCTTATCCTGATCCTTGAGAAAACTATGTGCTTGCCTTGTTATTTGTGAAAACAAATCTCTTATGCAAATTGGTTGTGGTTTCTATTATGCTTGTAAAAGACTGTTGGTTTGAGCCTTTGAGCCTTTGAGGTTGCTTCTAGTCCATCAACGTGCAAAGTTTCATCACTTTTGAGTTTTGACACAAGTCCGGTCCTTTTTTTTGTATGTTAACCTGAACGGCACAGTGTACAACGGTCGGAAAACCCATAAATTCTAGCACCACATAGAGCAAGTCTATTGCACACTCGGGTTAAAATAGCGTATCAGAATACAGGATGGGCACGGTAGCTAAAACAAAAATCCGAGTTCGAGCACGAGCCATGCTATTCTTGGAGAATAGGTAAGGTATGCGATCCTTGGGTGAAACTCATCTTATATTGCATGGTATACGATCTAGGGCTAAGCATGAGACACGGAGAATTTCGCAACGTGCAGAAAACCCAACCAAAATTATTTCGAACTGAAAAATAACCATTTACCGTTTGACTTTCTCCAAACCAAACCAAATCGAAAAAATAGTTGGTACGGTTTCGGGGATTTCACAAATATCCGTACGAGAGCCGAATAGTACCGTTCCACATCGTACTGAATCGAACAACCAAATTACAACATTACATATGTGTTATTAATATATTTTATGTCACCTTTGATCCTATATAATTTGAGAATTCTTAAAATACAAATAAAATATAGTAATAACAATTAAGTTTCACTTAAATTCATACTTAGTAATACTTGATCTACAATTGCATTTTTCCTATTACAAATATATATATATATATATATATATTTAAAATAGTATGAAAGGTTAAAGAACATTTTTTAAGAATATATTTTATTTAAATTTTTAATTTTCAATATTAGCTGCACATATTTAGCCTTAACTAAAATTTAGAGTCTAAAGTTGATTTCAAAATAATTATTTAATATGCGAAGTATTGAAGAATGTTGGTTTTAATAAATCATATAAAAATTAAATAACTAAACTTTAGACTTACTTCTAAAGTTGATTTCAAAATAAAATATTCAATATGATGAAGTATTGATGAATGTTGCTTTTTTTAAAGCATATAAAAGTTAAAATATAACTAGGTAGTCCGTAGTCATTCAATTTTCTTTTTATTTATTTTTTTTTTAAATAAGAAATCTGTGAAGCTCCGAACCGAACCATGCCAAACTGAACAGTTCCAATAGTCCCAAATACATAACCGAACTGGAAAATAAAAATCTCCGAACAAAACGTACGATTTTTTGGTCCGGATCGAATTTAGTGATCTCTAAATTTTGGTACGTTTCCGAAGATTTCTCAATCTCCGAACCGGATCGACCCATGCTCACCCCTAATTAGGGCTTACCGGCTGAGCATGAGACTCGAAGAATTCTGAATTGTTTAGAAAATCGAACCGAAATCACTCCAAACCAAAAAATAACTATTGACTGTTTGACTTTCTCCGAACCAAACTGAACAAAAAAATAATTGGTACGGTTCTGGAGATTTCACAAATATTTGTACTGAAAACTGAACCGAATCGAACCGTCCCATATCGTACTGAACCGAGAACCAAAATCAAGAATCGAATTATAACCTTAAATGTGTGTTATTAATATATTTTATGTCAAATTTTATCCTAAATAATATAGTAATAACAATTAACTTTCATTTAAATTTCATGCTTAGTAATATTTGATCTACAATTAAATTTTTTCTATTATAAAATAAATTATTTATGATATAGGATATTATACCCACAAGGCTAAACCGGTCTGCTGACCGGTCGAAGAGGCCATGCCGTGAAGAAACCAAGCCGAGTGACAGGAAAATCGATCAGTCAAGCAGTCGACCAGATAAGCAACCGACCAACCCATCACTCAACCAGATAAGCGATCGAGCAGTTCAGTCGACCTCAATCGGTCGACCACTTTGCGAACTTAACACTTCATAGATCGGCCTAGTCACATGGCGCGTGAAAGAGCCTCTAACAGAATTTCAAGAGAATATTCATCCCATGTGCAGGAGGACACGTGTCGAGAACTTATTGGTTGATAGCGACAACCACCTCTGACAGCTCCCAACGTCCCGCGCCACCTCTGACATGCGCACTGTGTGTCAGAGTACGTACGGGCAGTTTGGACAGCCAGCTCATTAAATCCGGGCAGCCTTAGGGCAGGTATTTCACTCTTATATAAAGGGGGTGAGTCTTTTCTTCCTGGACACGATTTTTTCACTACTCATTTCCAGTATACTCATACACATACTGACTTAAACATCGGAGGCTCTTCACCGGATACAACCTTTAGTGTGAGAGTTATTTGCAGGTTTCTGGCGTTCTACCAGCGAGGAAAAGAATCGATCTACCCAAACTGGACCAGGACGCTCACACTTGCATTAATTTAAAATGATATAAAAAGTTAAAGAATATTTTTTAAGAAAAAACTATATTATATTTTGTTTGATTTTAACTTTTCAATATTAGTTGCACAAATTTAATTTTAACGAAAATTTAGAGTTACTTCTAAAGCTGATTTTTTTTTTAAATCTTTAATATGAAGAATTATTGATGAGTGTTGGTTTTATTACAGTATATAAAAATCAAATAACTAAAATTTAAAGTTACTTCTATAGTTGATTTCAAAAGAAAATCTTCAATATGATGAAGTATTGATGAATGTTGTTTTTAAAGCATATAAAAATTAAAATATAACTAGGCAGTCATTTTAAAAAAAAAAGTTAAAGAAATAAGAAATATCCAAAGATCCGAAACCAAACCATACCGAACTGATCCGTTCCGATAGTCCCGAATACCGAACCGAACTGAAAAATAAAAATCTACGAACCGAACAACCGAACTGATTTTTTGGTACAGTTTCAGAAATCGAATATAAGGATCTCCAAATTTTGGTACGGTTCCAGAGATTTCTCAATCTTTAAACTATACCAACTCATGTTCACCCTTACCCTTAATATGATCCATATTTAAAATTATACAAGTACTAAACAACGGTTAAAATTAGCACAATAAAATCATGATATATGAGCCTACAATACTTGAACTTGATTTCTTTATGAGCAAAACTTTAAAATTGTTCACGAATTTAAAATTCTTTTCATCCAAAATTTTTGCCTACCCAATAATCATTTTGCAAAATGTAAATGATCCAAATTTGAGCAATGTTGAACATTTTTACTAAGGCATGTCAATTTAATGAAAACAACAAAAACAAATCAGTAAACTAATTTGTCTAGCAAATACCACCCCCCTCCCTCCAAGTTATAAACTATATGGTCAAATTAATAAATCGAACTAAAATTTATTTTAATCCATCTCTTAATATTATCAGTATAATATATATTAAGGCTAATTTACATATCTACCGTGGTTGTTTAGTCTATTTGCGTCAATTATTTCAGTTGGCCATCACATTCCCACGTCGAGGAAAAGCAATTCGACACGCTAACACGGAATAGCATTACTATTATCATCTAAATTTGTGAAAAAAAAATATTAAAAACTATATATTTTTTTTTTGGTACAAAAGAATAGGCGAACGCCTAAAAATTTAGTTGCACACAACACGAGTATAAGCTACGCTAAGAAAATCATGGTGGAGTCACTAACGAACCCCATTCGGCTCATGTAAGACATGATACCCTACCAATCCATTCGCTGCGAAGGCATCAAATGGTTAGCTGCAGAATTCGCTTCACGGAAAATATGTTTCACTTTGACGTTCCAAGGTCGATCGAGTAATTATTTTATGTCCAACACTAGGCTTATGTTCACCCCTGGTTCATCATCAAGACATCTTGTAAATCTCACGGCGCTCTCATTGTCAACTTCCGCTTCGACTTGCCGAAAGCTTAGGTCCCAAGCCAAAGCGAGTCCCCTATATAAGAAAATTTGTTTTTTTTTTTTTTTAATTTCTATGCAAATAATATGTTAGAAGAAAGCAATTTATGGTTTCTAAGAGCATTTTCAATGCTTTAGGTCTAGTCTTGTATATTTGGAATGTAAATGAACTTAAGTCTTGGATGACATGGACAAACATTTATAAAATTAACAAAATCTACTCCAATGCAAGGAGACTATGTCTCTACTTGGGTCTAAAATGGACTTAAGGGTAGACCGGGTCTCTTTTTCTGGCTGCCACATCAGCAGGACCCAGTCCACTTTTGTTTGCATTGGAGAATACATTTTTTTAGACTATGTCTATTTCTTATGTGGCATACAATTTTTTGGAATTGAACTCATAGCATTCATTGTGGATGTATTAAGAGTTATTAAACAAACCAAACACAAACAGGTTGCCAACACAAGTCAATACGGTCAGTTCTATAACTGGTCGAGTTAAACTCGAGCCGACAAAAAAATCATTGATATGAGCTCCAGCGGGAGTGCTATGCTCGGCAAGAGCAAATAGGCTCCACAAACATTTTTGCAAATGAATAAGATCTGAAAAAACAGGATACAGATCACAACTCCTCCTTCTCTTTTCCCTTTCACTCCCCCCAAAAGCACACTGAAATTCCGGAAATGGGCGCCACGGAGAACGGCTCCGCCGCCCAACCCCTCAAATTCTTGATCTACGGGCGGACCGGCTGGATAGGCGGGCTGCTGGGCAAGCTCTGCGAGGCCCAAAGCATCGAGTACGTCTACGGTTCGGGCCGGCTGGAGAACCGGGCCTCGATCTAAGCCGACATCGTCTCAGCCCGGCCCACCCACGTTTTCAATGCCGCAGGCGTGACCGGCCGGCCCAACGTGGACTGGTGCGAGTCCCACAAGGTGGAGACCATCCGCACCAACGTCGCCGGCACGTTGACGCTCGCTGACGTTTGCCGGGAAAAGGGTCTTCTGCTGATTAACTATGCCACGGGCTGTATTTTCGAGTATGATTCGGGGCATCCGCTCGGATCGGGTGTCGGGTTCAAGGAAGAGGACACGCCCAACTTTGTCGGATCCTTCTACTCCAAGACCAAAGCAATGGTGGGTTTTGTTTGATTTACTTTTCTGTGCTGTTATGTTATTTGAGAATGTTGAATTAGATATTTGTTGATTTGCTCTGGAGTGTCATTTAGCTTAATGTATTTGTTAAGAATTGTTTTGAGTACTTGATTTTGTTGAAAGTGAAATTTTTTGGAGTATCAGTGCATTTTTGTGCTAAGTGGAACCAATTGAGTTCGAATTTAGAGCTGTGGATAGTCGAACTTTGAAGGGGTGTAGATTGTAGATGATGTTTCCTCTCTGCATTCAGGTTGTGATTTGATTTTCTTAGTGTGTTTTGTTGAAGTGTGCAAGATCTCTGAAGTCAACCGACCGATGATCATCGCTGTTTAGCTTAGTACTTGACAATTGCAAGATCATATGTAGGTTTTATGATTCGAGGAAATTAATATCCATTGTGGCATTATTGGAATCTGCATATTAAGGAGGTTTTCCTTTATGGTGCTGTCTAAAGTAGTCACATTTGCATTTCTTTATTGTACTCTTTGCCTAGTTGCTAGTAACTTTCTTCAGTAATCTACCAATTCAGAGAGGTTCTATTCATCTTGGCAACTTAATCAATATTCAGTCACATTACGATAGATTTCCAATGTTGTGACTGCTTTCTTTTATGTTTGATTGATTCCTAGTGCTGGACTTTTGTGGGAAATAGCATGTAGCTAAAGGTATATGCTTCTAAACTGATTCAATTATGGAATACTACACTAGATGTTTATGAAATAATTAGTAGACACATCAATTTTTTTTTTTTAATTTTTTTTTTTTAACTTTTGTGAATAAGGTTGAGGATTTGCTGAACAACTATGAGAACGTCTGCACGCTGAGAGTGAGGATGCCCATCTCGTCTGATCTTTCGAATCCTCGTAATTTCATCACGAAAATCACACGGTATGAAAAAGTGGTGGACATACCGAATTCCATGACAATATTAGATGAACTGCTTCCCATATCCATTGAGATGGCGAAAAGAAACCTCACTGTAATATGGAACTTTACGAATCCAGGGGTCATTAGTCATAATGAGATTTTGGAGATGTACCGTGTATATATCGACCCGGGTTTCACTTGGAAGAACTTCACTCTAGAGGAGCAGGCTAAGGTGATTGTTGCCCCAAGGAGTAACAACGAGCTTGATGCCATTAAACTCAAGCGGGAATTTCCTGAGATGCTATCCATAAAGGAGTCCCTCGTTAAGTATGTGTTCGAACCGAATAGGAAGACACCCGTTGCTTGAGACTGAGGTTTGGATGAGTTGTCACTGGATTTTATCATTTTTTTTTTTTTCACGTTCTTAGTTTCTTTTTGTTGTTGTTGTTGGTTTTTCTTCCTTGTTTCGAATCACATGATTTTGTTGCAACGTAAGTTTCGTTTTGTTGTTTTGTCTTCCTTGTTTTCCATTCACATGATTCTGTTGCTTTTCATGTACTGAATGTTGTATTGATTGATTCCATCAATAAAACTGATTTTAGATGAGATGTTTGTGATATACAAATGTGGAATTTCTTGCGGAAATAAAAAATAGAGAAGGATCAAATCAGGAAAAGAAACAATGAAAAAAATAAATAAATAAATAAAAAAGTGTATGTTGAGAGTGGGATTTGAACCCACGCCCTTTCGGACCAGAACCTTAATCTGGCGCCTTAGACCAACTCGGCCATCTCAACTTTGGGAATAGTTGGCCCTTTTTAAATTCTCAGGCTCTTACATGTTCTAAGTATTTAAATTGTTGTGTCTAGGTTGTTTAACAAAGGCAAAATTGCGCCTAATATCACCACCTTTATCGAAATTGCAAATTAATCACGACTTTTGGACTTTGGCGCACAATATAATGATCTTTAGTTTTTGGCAATACGGTACATGAAATTCCTCAGCTCCCCAAAAAATATCGACGTGGCTTAAATTTGCCACCGCGGAGGCTTAGCTGGCGGTCCACCTCGGAGCAATACGACGTCGTTTTAATTCTTTTTTTCCACGTCAGATCAAAACGACGTAGTTTCGATATCTGAGTATTTTTTTTTCCACCTCAGATCAAACGACGTCGTTTTGAGTGGTAAATTGCTGATATATTAAATTACATAAAATATCTAATCGGGCCCCAAAATTCAATTGTCTCAAAATCAGATCTCGATTCTCTCTCGTAGAATCCCTATTCTCTCTATCGCTTCGTGCTGCAAATTCCCTAATCTCTCATATCTGTCAAAATCTGGTAATCGGATAGTGGTCTCTGAAGACTTCATGTTGTGAAAATGGCGAGCAGGTATTTTTTATGATCGGTATTAGAGGATACATGTAAACTAGGCTTACCAATCGATTTTTGCACCTGTAGAACCTCCTACACGGATTTCGATCGGTAAGGTCAGTAATTCGGCCTCACCATGGATACATGTAAATTTTGATGTTGTACTCCTAGATGAGCTGGATTTGATTGACATTTTGCCTACTCCTTCTTCTCCGATGACGAAAACCCAGCCCCAAAAATTTTCTCCTGCAGATTGAAGAAGGGTTCATCGACTAATTTGGGGATTTAATCAGCAATTTACCATTCAAAACAGCGTCGTTCGATCTGAGGTGGAAAAAAAAAATACTCAGATATCGAAACGACGTTGATCTGACGTGGAAAAAAAAAGAATTAAAACGACGTCGTATTGCTCCGAGGTGGACCGCCAGCTAAGCCTCCGCGGTGGCAAATTTAAGCCACGTCGATTTTTTTTGGGGAGCTGAGGAATTTCATGTACCGTATTGCCAAAAATTGAAGATCATGATATTGTGCGCCAAAGTCCAAAAGTCGTGATTAATTTGCAATTTCGATAAAGGTGGTGATATTAAGCGCAATTTTGCCTTTAACAAATACTGCAGTCATTTATGCATGAATACTTTAAAATTTTTCCAAAATATCTTAATAGAAAATATTGTTTCTTCCTCTTAGGATTCAATTTCTCACTTATACTTTTGCTCATGTTATAATCAGTGCCGGCTCTAGGGG